TTGGTCATAAACGGAAATCGGAAGGTTTGAAAGTGAGGCAAAAATCGTAAGATCTTTAACTAATATCTTATGTTTAAGGTCTAAATTCGTAATTGTCAATCTAAATTCCGTGTAAGACTAGAGGAGCAAGGATATGTCATCAAATCCTACAACATGCTCCACAATCATCCATGTAGTAGTTCATGAATGGTATGTGATCCATGGACAAGGAGATTATCGTCAGAAGAAAAAGAGAACTTGAAGCCCGTAATACTTCACTGTGAGTCAGCAGATGAAGTTATCGAAAGTATTAAGGAGAGAACTGGTAAGCAAGTAACTGCTGCCGATGTCAAAGGTATGAAAGCTACACTCTCCACTGGTAAGTGTATATAAATATATTTCAGGTTGTTTTACTCGGAAGCAGGTGATGGATATGCTGAGACAGAAAGGCGAAGTGAGAGAACATTTAGAAAATGGATATGCCACGAGAATATGTTTCAGTAGTTATAACCAAATACAACTGTACAGGAAATATCCAGAAGTTTTGTGCATTGATTCTACGTATAATACTAATAATAAAAAGTGAATATGTTTATCGTTGTATTTTACTATGTAGATATTCGTTATTCCAGTTAGTGGTGACGGATAATTGGGGTCGAGGACGAACTGTAATGTTTGCGTGGACACGAAGGGAAAAGCGTGCCGATGTGACATGGATTTTAGATCAATTCAAAGAGATAATGGGTAACACAATGTTGACTGAAACACTTGTGATGGATTGCGCACGATGTGAAAGCGCGGCTGTCTGTATAACACACGGACATGCAAACATAATTTTGTGCGCCTTTCATGTAATTCGCGCTTTCCGGAAAAAGGTACACCAATGGTTGCTTATATAAAATTGCCCTTAGACAAACGACAAAATACTGAAAACGTACTTAACTCGATTGGTAACTGCGGAAACGGTTGGAAGTTAATTTTTGTAATGTGTTTATTCACTAGATTTAATCAATATTACAGAATAATAAATCGGCGGGACAGATTGATAGGTCAGTACCTGTCACGTTTTTGGATGGCACGTAAGACAATGTGGGCGCGTGCGTTTTACGGTCATGTTTTAACTTTGGGTAACAGCACGAATAATCGTGTTGAATCGCTAAATAGGCAAATAAAACGATATGTACGAAAAGTGATAGTCTGTACAAATGTATGTACAAGGCTTTAAAATGGAGTGAAATGACGTCAACTAGAAGAAGTATCGAAGATCAAGTAATAGCCGGAAGATCTTATAAATATAATGCTCCACAGCGTCTTATACCCTTGCTAAACATTTTGACCCCATTCGCAAGATCTAAAGTGTTATACGAACTTAAACAAATGCGTTTCGTCTACGTGAAATATGAAGGCGGCGACTGGTTGTTTATGGTTGACCGCGGACAACATTATGAAGTGGATGTAAGCATTTGTCAATGCAATTGTAGCACGTTTATGATGTGTCGATATCCGTGCCGTCACATGCTACTTGCCTACGTTAAAAGACGAAATCTTACAGGTAAGCTATATCAATTATGAAATACTAACTGCATAGCTCATCAACTTCTTAGGTATTGTAGCAGATGGAAGTTACATAATACCCAGAACTTCCAAAATTATACATTAACTGCATTACCACGACGGAGTGAAGTGTATATAAGTATTCAACGAAGCCAAAGAATCCATAAGCATCGCATCATTGAGAAGTATGGTGAACGTTTCGCAACGGAAGTTGAGAAGAAAGTGGACAATTATTACTTAAGAATTCTTAATACCAACTTGTAAACTTGATTTTCTGCTTTAGCAGCAATGATTATTCAATAAACTTTCATAATTTTAATTTTCATCTTATTCCTACTTTCATGGGAATGAATAGCAATGATGTTCATGTGTAACTGTCTGTAATAATTAAGAATGATTAAGAAACCCTACATCCACGTACAGTCTTGCAGATTAGGCACCCACATATCGTATTCATCTTCGTCGGATTACGTTTATCATCAAAATCGTATCAGTAGCTAAGTAGATTTTAATTTCATGTGATTAGTTCCGCTTATGAATTAAAATGAAACCAGGAGAAATGTTGATTAACAGTGGTATGCATTCATTATAACTAAATATGCATTAGGATTTAACAGTGATGTGGGAAACAGTTGACATACCTGAATATGAATAATTGAAATGACGTAGGTTATCAATAATGACTATATATATATGTGCAGTTTAAGGTCAAAGGTCATTTGTTTTTACAGTCAATAACACATTAAGAATGGGTGGTGTAATAGTGGACTGGAGTTCACAGACAGATAAGTGGTGTGAAAATCTTATAGCTTATAAATGATCCGTGGATTTAAGAACTGAAAACTTGGGTTACGTAATAATTGATTACAATTTCAAGAGGTCACATAATTACAGAGGATTAAGTGAGCAGATGTAAGTGACAGGGTGCTGGAATAAATGGGTAACTAAATTTTAAAAGTGAAATGAATTATTACATAATCCATCTTATTACTTGTTCATTCCATGGATTATAAGGAGTTCATATTACTCTATCTATATTTGTTCTAGCGTCATATCGACTATTAATAAATACGGACACGGTTTATAAAGTAAGACACTGAGTGTAGTTGCTATATTTATATTTCACTAATTCATTAGTTGAATAAAAATGTTACTAGGCAATACGGAACACAGTTAACGTGAACTTGTAAACCGGTTTTTAACATGGTCTTCCATAATCACAAATTCCATAAGTTGTAGACCGGCGTAAACATCATCACAAGCTTTGACGACTTTAATGGATTCATACAATTCTGAAAAACAATAAATCAGTCGTGAAATAAAGAATTAGACTTAGTTATCAGTATCACATTCAATAAGTCCATCAAATAGCAGGTTACAGAATGTACCTATAAGTCTCTTATTTGCAGACAGCGCTAATCATTAGAGATTTCTATTTCCTTTAATAAAAATTAATAGGTAATCTTTACAACACACATATCAGTGTTATTTACAAATTGCTGAAGTTAGTTTCGTCACAACATACAAGCGTAGTCTGACTTATGAAGAAAATGTAATTAATTAATGTGGCATAAAGGAGATATGAATACAAGGAACTTGTGATTCTGCTTCCATTGCTCATTCACTTTTCGTCACGTTGTCTGCATGAATTACTTCGGACGAGTCAGTCTGTAATGCAGTAGGAATTCATGAATTAACTCATTAATAGTTGTTTTTCTATTCAAGTCTGTGTCGTAACAAGCACTGGGAATTTATTCAGTGTCTAACCTTGTAGTATTTCGTCTATACATCTGGTATTAGCAAGAGAAATTGGTAAGCACCATTTAGATATTACTCGACAATATGCATCATAACTTTGTTCACATTTTCGTCTGCGATTGTGCATTTCGTTTACAGAAAATTATTCGTCAACCCTATAACAGACACATCATAAATCAGTATTAAGTACGACATGGTTTTGTCACCATGCTCAGAAGAGACACCATCGTTTTACTTATGAAGATTTTGTGCCTATTTAATGTGGTGTTATACACTGTTCCTGTATACGTTCAGAAAGCCGGTAAAAAAGACTATCAACGTCAATTGTTACTCACATAATTTTTCTCTGATACGTTACACAATAATATGTCACTTCAGTACAAAACAATGCTACCTATAGTCCAAATAACCTTTTATGGCTAAATACAAACAATTTATATAATATTCATAGTTAGTTTAACGCTTACTTCTTTCTGATTACATTTTATAAACGACTACGGACATCTATGTTTGCCGTCACCATAATCAAGGAGGTGAACCATATATAATGCTTTTCACGGCTTATTTTCATGAAAACTCAATCTGTAATCTATTTTTGACTAGAAAAATGGTGATTTGACTTGTTTGACTTTGTATTGTTAAAAATAACCATATTACGCCAACTACATATTTACTTAGGTGGTGAGCACGAAATACGTCAAACTGCTTATAAATTGAAATAAAAACTATCTTCCAATCACAAAGATTACGAGAAGTCACGTATGATGGAAAAAAGGCTGTTAATAGCTGATAAATAACGACACATAAAATCCACGACAATATGTTACATGTGCGCGAAAACCCGTGACCTAACACGCATAGTGTGCCGAATTCGCGCGAAGTCACAATCAAAGTGTGAGAATCGGAATGGAAGCACAATATAGCTGTCATTAGCACAGTCAAACAAAAGCACATTAAAATAAACTGGTACAGTTGGTTATAATAATCATTGGTTTTATTAAACCAGTCGTGTTCTCGTGATAAATGTGAGTCACTACAAAGTTATCATCTGGTTTTCTGAAAGGGATTGAAAAAGCTCGCTTATATTTTTGTGAATAAACAACGGAACATCCTAAACTCCTTCAATTAGTTTGCTATAGGTTGAGGGTGAAACTACACTGGTTTCTACACACTAGATGGTGGTTTCGGTATTACTATCCAGTGATCCCTTTTCCCTACAGGACTCTTCGTCTAACAAGAAAATGTAATAATGTTTAACATGTGTGTATCTAATTCGGTCACTGCCAGTGAAGAAGGATTAAGTTAAGAAGTTCCATACTGAAAATTTAATGGTCTGATATGTCTATTTCTGGAATCCCATATAGAGTCATTCAGGTTGATGTGTAGAAACACCTCTCCAGTGAAAAAAACAAGTGCTTAAGAGAACGTTTCCGTTGTATTTCGGAACGAAAGTATATTTTCAAAGAGAGGTAGTCCTTTGAAATAGACGATTCCCCCTGGCCTCATCATGTCCGAACATCTTTTATGATATGATCTAAAAATACAGTAGACTGTAGATCAGCTATTGAAATCATCGCCAATAAACTTCTTTCCGAACAAAACAATATCCTGATTTTATCACATCATATAGTGAAAAAACTCGCACTTACGTATAAAGGATGTGGTTAGTATAATTCACATTATTCAAACAAGGTTTCAATGGCTGGTCCACTTTCGAATGACAGCCATGTCTACAAGCGCCTATACGGCTCTGATGGTATGTTGTACATGGTTTCATAGTTTTGCTGTTTTGTGTCATTTTTAAAACGAAAGAATCCTGTATTGCATAAATCAGTAATCTGAAACAATTTATGTTTTTTATTTTTAGTCAAGTAAACGCAAGGTGAGTTAATATTAATATAATTACTTGTGTTATTGTTTATTTACCATTACATGGAAGCATTAAGACGATTTCATCTTCATATACATTGTTTTTTTCAGCAATTTGAGTTGTTTTTACAGGACGGATACCTTAAATATTACTGAAGCTAGCAAAGTTGGTTGATTTCTACTGTCGTTACTTAAACTGTACCGTGGGATATAAATAACTATATTCAGACTACCAGGTGTCGAATATATTACTACTAAGACATACGATATTGGTCTTCACAAATTTCGTATCAATTGAATGGGTCAAAAGGTGTTTATGCGTGGCTTGTTAATTCTAAATATTTGGCATCCTTGCGACCGGACTTTTTCCTACCTATGCCGTTCGGAAAGACAGTCGTTTTTAAGTTGTTGCATAATTATTTTCAGTCAAACAAGTCAACGAAAGTGTGCCAACTTTAAGGGAAGTGGTGTTGGTGCATAAACTTCATCTGACACACTATGTGCTTCTGTTGGTCGCATAATCAACATGAGCCTAGGGAAACGGATCGTTTTAGTCTCTTACTAACTTCGTTTAGTGACATAGAGGTGGCAAAATATAAGATCACTCCGAAGTCTTCCATACTAGGATGGTAGGCCTGTTCTCAACATCCCAGTTACTTGAGTTCTGTATCTCAGTTGGTAAGCTGTCTCTGACTTGTTTCTCCTTGTAGTCTATTTCCGTTTAATTAGTCTTGTTTTGACTAGAGTAGCTTTTTCATCCAGGTTGATGTTCACAACCGAAAATGTTACTTATGTAGAGAGATTTAAGGGACAAGTTATGTACCGTAACATACTGATGGCATTCACTTATGCGTTTTTAGAGTTTAGAAGAGGTTTAATAATTACACAAAACGGTTTCACTCATATGATGGTTCCAAAGTAGTTTCAGGGTCTTAAGATATCGGGTTAAGTGTATATCGACAGTGAATAAAGTGATAAGTATGAAACAAGGCGTAACATGGTTTGTTGCCTGATTGTTGTGATCTTGCTACAAAGTAGATAGTTGATGTACTAATTTCAATATTGCTAAGACTACTATGACACACATGATAGAGATTGTGACAAGTTTGTATACTCGGTTTTGGTTCGTATTGTGTTCAGGCTAATTTTGCTTTTCGGTTGAGAGGAATTCGGTTCTGTGGCTTATAGGTTTACAAACTTAGCGTCCTAATTGCTCCAGACAAGTATCAGAACATTAGTGTATGTTGGTTTTTTAGCTTATCAATACTACTTAACTATCTCCAAAAATACTCAGTTCCGGTATTAGTTTCACTGTATGTCATACAATCTAAACAAAAAATCCCAATGGGATAGGTTCCTTACATAAAGTCACTCAACTAGGAATTAATGATGGGATCGTATAATAACGTGTAAAGACTATTTGGTGTGGAAGCAGGCTGGTATCCTAGCTTCATTTAGTTCTCCATAAGAACTCTAGGAATGGTAACTACAGCTTAGTGTGCATCAGGGCAGTTTGTCGATGTAATCTGTCTAGAGACTCAATCGAAAATTATCGACTAGTACACTCCCTCTAGATTTCGCTTTGTCACTTACAAGACATCACTATCTCATGGGAAATCAATGATATAGGGTCCTAGGGCTAGTCCTTCTACATAGCGAATATGTAAGATATAACCAGTCTATCTTAAAGTTATAAGGTCCAGAAATATAAAAATACTTTAACAATACTTACAATTGAGTGCATCAACTGCACAGTATAACAAGGCTTATAGGATTGGGGAAATCCTGTTTTTTTTTTCATGAGCCGTATTCTTTGTACTACTCACTTGAATAACTTTATAAATCGACCTGTGTAACAGCGTGATGAAGCTAACGGATTTATAATGAACGGAAATGGTCATGCTCCAATGGAAACTGATACTAACGAAAACAAAAAGGTAAGATTACTGTTTTCCTAGCCTGTAAATTTTCAGTCAAGAATTGAATATGTTGAAACTGTTCCATCAAAAGTTGTTCATATTCGTAACATGCCAGACGATGCTACAGAACATGAAATCGCTCTTCTCGGCATCCCGTTCGGTTTGCTAGAAAACATGGTGCTTTCTAAAAAAGCTAACCAGGTAAGTATTTTAAAAATCAGTATTCCTTTCGGCAGGCTCTGTTGGAAATGCAATGCCTAGAGAGTGCGATCATGATGGTTTCGTACTATCGCGAATACCAAGTTACGCTAAGAGGACGCACTCTGGTCATGCAGTATTCTAAACACCAACATCTCGAATTACATTCGGAAAACAGTAGCATAGGCAATGCAATTCAGAACGCAAATTGCATCGTTCAACAGGATCTCAGTGGCGCTAATTCTGGGATGCCTACTACAGTTCTGCGTGTTGTCGTTGATAACATAATGGGACAGCAGATCAACCATACTATTCTACACAAGGTAATGTATATTATTACTATTACTATGAGTTATTTCCCCAGATATTTTACCGATATGGAAAAATACTAAGAATTGTTACCTATCTGAAAAACAACCAGTATCATGGATTAGTCGAGTTTGGTAATCATATTCATGCATTTGTTGCAATGCTAGTAAGTCTCTTCACTTTCATTCAAAAGCTTTAGCATTTAAACGGCCAAAACATATACACTGGATGCTGTTCCCTGCGTGTGCAATTTTCGAAAAATCGTGGTCCATTGGAAGTTCGTCAAGAGAGTGATAAATGCAGAGATTATCTCAATAATCCACTAACTGAGGAGGAGTTAATGTCTCTTCGAAGACCCACAGCTGGGAGTGAAAGACATCATAGCAACAATCCTGGTCATGTTTCTTCAAATTTCCAAAATTCCGTCGTACCGAATATGGCACACCAAGGTATCCATCTCCCGGTTGGGATGATTGCACCTCCAAATACGAGCAATATGGGGATTAACGAACTAACTGCTCAGTTAGCAGCACTAGCTCAGCAGTCAGGTTTGGCTCTTACTCCTGCAGCAGTAGCTGCCACTGCAAGTTTCATGGCTCTTACATCACAAAATAGCGGTCCAGGTGCTCAGTCTATGTCAGGAACTCCTAATCTGTCTACTATACTAGCAGCACTTCAGGGTGGTGCTGTTCAAACTGGGGTTCTCCCCCATATGTCTGGCGGTAACACAAGTGTTATGGGATCTGTGCAGACACCTGTCTCTTCTCACGTGACGCCTGTTGGAGTTCGTCCCCCTCCTAATAATAATGGAAGTACGGTCCTGATTGTATCAAATCTGAACGAAGATGTAAGTGTTGAATTTGGAATGTCGAGATTATGGGTTTGCTAAAAAAACATGACGTCTAATTTAATATTCTGTTTTTCGTTTCATGTTTTCTTGAAATCACACCATCTGCTCTCAACCTTGGGTCTTTATTCGTTGATTGGCTATACGATTATGATTACCCATCACTGCTGTCAAATCGGCCGTTTTTCTTCGTATTTCGCTGTTCTTGTTCAATCTTGTTGCACACTTGCATCTGTTGTGCGACTGTACGTGATATTAAATTCGGATTCATTATTTTAACCTTCATCTTCGTTAAGAGGGTTTATCCGGATGCTCTTTTTACACTTTTTGGTAGGTTTATGTCTTTTCTTGTTCTACCGTTACCCATCACAGATTTTCTTGTCTATAAACATTACTTATTTATTCTCTTGTTCTGTATTAATTCTGTTTTTATTCCTTATATTGTCTTGACAGCAGCACAACTGGTTTTTCTTTGTTCATTCTCATGACTCTACCCATATTCCCTAGTAGATCAGTAATGTAAATGTATCATTAACTAATACTGATTTTCAGTCGATTTTGTCTTGTAAGATTTCAGTCAACCACTTAATGCTTGTGACTAACTGCGTTAAGCATTGATTTTCAGGTTGTTAAAGGTATGTGATCGTAGTAACTTTCTTATCGCACTTAACATTCACTTCATGAAGAAAGGCTCTTAATATTTACTCAGGTTTTTTCATTTTCACCTTAGAGGTGAAGCTTACTAATCTTATCTCGTTAACATCTATAGTAATACTGTCAAACTTTATAGTTACAACCATTTAAATAACTAGTTAAAATCCCGCTTTGGTCGAGTGTCTTACAGAAAGCCGACTATAATGATTCGAAAATTAGTCTTAGGTCTAGTGCATGAATATCTGCATAGTCATTGATTCCCAGTATTGTTCTATTGAGTATAATTAGACAGTTTATACATATGACCAAGCGGTCCGACTTTTTGAAGTGAGCACTCTAAAATGCAGTTTTACCTATGTGATGACTAAACATTTATTGCATGTTGTTCCTTGTTATTCATTTTGTCCTCTAATTTCAAGTGGTACTATCCTCTGGGTATTAGATAAAATTTATCTACTAAAGCTCATTACATTCGACTCCACTTAAACCATTCAGCCCGGTCAAAGCAGTATGGTTTTTTATAATTCTAATCTTACGCTTTTATATAGGAACCCCAAGAGTAGCTTGAGTAAAGCCTGTAATTTGGACACAAGAAGCCCGAACGCTTCTGATTGTCCCAATGTGCTTTGCCTCCCATTCTGAAACTTCCTACCTAAAGTTTATTAGCAACATGGTGGATAGATGGTAACGTTTCTTCAACGGGAAATGCATTATCAGGACCAAAATATTTACATGCTGAACAATCTTTGTTTACAGGTGTATATGGAGATGTCACTCGCGTGAAAATTATGTTCAATAAGAAAGACACAGCCCTGATTCAATTTACCGATCCTCACCAGGCTCTTACAGGTAATTTTGTCAACATTCTGATAATAAATCTCATAGCTTTACAGTTTCTCAATGGCCAGCGCCTCTGGGACAAACCGATGAAAATTGCAGTGTCTCGACATAATATTGTTCAGCTACCGAAAGAGGATACTGAAAATGGTTTGACCAAAGATTATACTAACAGTCTGTTGCATCGTTTTCGAAAGCCCAATTCAAAAAATTTTCAAAATATTTACCCTCCAAGTCACGTTCTACATTTGAGTAACATCCCTCCTTCGGTAACTGAAAACGATATACGTGTGTTATTTGCAACTAAAGGATTTGAAGTTACTGGGTTTCGGTTTATGTAATTATATATTTTCTTAAGATGTTTACGTTAATTTTTAACAGGAAGGATAACAAAATGGCACTCGTGCAGTTGGAAACAGTTGATTTGGCTATTCAGTCTCTTATCGTAAGTTCATCTTAATTGCAAATTTATTTTTCTTAACAGGAATTGCACAACAGTCAGTTGACAGAAAATTCTCACTTACGGATCAGCTTTAGTAAATCGGCTGTTTGAAATATGTTGTTTTTCCTACCATATTGCATGTAATGCTGATAGCTGTCTGTCAGGAAATAATCTTGCATACTATCCGTGCTCTCCCAGCCTACCTTTATTCGAAGGTTTGATTTTATCTTCTCAATTTTCATATTGGCGTTATCATGTTGATAGTCATCAAAAAATGTATTTAACGGTATCATATTTTTGTTTTTTTTTTCGCTTTTTAAGTGGGAATTTAAAAAATGCGCTTGAAATCATGTAACAGTTGTGTCTCCAAATAATTTTTCAGACAATGGTATTGCTTAGAGTAAAAGTTACTGTAAGTGCCACTTCTCCCCATATTGTTCTATGAATCTTTGTTTTACGTACTTCGCAATGCGGTTTACTCCGTTTCATCATTGTCTATATTTGTTTCGAATATTATGACAGCTTGTATTGACACTAGAATGTTTGTCGATTTCTATCAAATACACTATTGTTAAAGGTCTCTACTTCATTAAGGGAATACTTCAGGCTCCTGTCGATTCAGTTGTTAGTAGTACTGTTTTCGATTTGTTGATGTACGATTAACGCACCAATTGTTCTTGCCGAATACTAAACTTTTTAGTTGCTTGGGATTAGATAGAACATGGTCATAGTTTGATAGAAATGTGACCAATACTAAATTACTGTCCTTTACGGTTGACCTTCACTGGACCAACGCATTCTCTAGGTGTTTCAGCGTAAAAAAATAAGTTACGCAAACATATTGTGGTCGAATGCGTTTAGTCACATTATTGACTTTCCAATTGTTGGTGCGTTCATTAAGTTCAACACCTTTCTGATTGTGATTCTTACTTGCGTTGCTGAAAATATATGGACCTCAGTGCGTTTTAAAAAAAATTGACTGTCTCTTAGTATTCTTCATGTAAAATAAATCCTAAAAAAGGAGTCAATCAAATGTATATATATATATATATATATATATATATATATATATATTTAACATATGTCGGTTCAAGTTGTTAGGGCAAATCCCAAGGTAGTGGAAGTAATAAAAGTACTAGTCTTGATAGAAAACATTAGGCATCAAAGGTACGATTAAGAAATAACAGATTAGTGTAATAAGAATTCTGAAGGATTTCGAATTATGGTAAAAGTAGGTAAATTATGCAGACCTCATACAACTAGGAAACATTGCTTCCAGATCCTTTAATTGTTCAATGCATCAAACAGTCTACTGCCAACAACGAAAAATCCACAAGGTATTTCGTAACTGCAGGCACGCATCCCATAGCATGTTATGGGATACACTAATCCGATGTAACGACCTATGGTTTTTAATGAAGAAAGACCCATCCATCTTTGGACCGGTCATTAACCAGTTCATAATGTTACATTTAGTTTAGGAGATAACATGACTTAATTTCAGTTTATTACGAAGCATCTGAAGGAGTTAAATTGGAATAGATTTACTTTTTCCTTTAAGTCATTTGGTACAGTTTTGGATGATCTGCTCGGCTAATACTGAATAGTTTTGGAGATCCTGTATCTTCAACCCCGGTCCTTATTACCGTTTGAGTACTTGAGAAGTGATCAATAACCCGAGTAATCTTAGAATCGCAGCCGACCTTAATTTATTGTAGTTACTGACACCTAAATAAGGTAATTATGATGTACTATTTGTAGGTATCCTATAGCTGGTCCTAGTCGTTCATGTCTCAATGTTATTACGAGAAATTATGTGAATATTCAAATTTCAGTGTAATAATAAACAGATATTAGGCTTTTGCAAAAAGTGAAGAAGTCAATCTTGGAAAAGAAATGTGATGAATTTATAAGATCGCTCCGTACAGGTCATGATTACGAGGTGATATAAAAATATGGGCTCATTCCCCAATCGCATTTACTACATAATCCTGATTAGTCGTAAGGTTACTGACGGCCGATCCACCGTTTCTAAAGATGTGAAATTAAGGAGCGAATGTGTATCGGGCAGCTTTTCCGACAGCACAAAATCAGAACAGTGTGATTAACTGAAGCAATAGTGAGTTTGCCAAAGACAAGTATGCTTGAGAATTGTGTCAGATTTCTATATGTACATGGAATAACCCCCCATTAACTTCCATAAAGTAGTTATCGAAATTCCAGATTTGTAATATGTCCTTGTTATGATTTAGGAAGGTTACACAGCTTTTTTAATTTAGAAAGTTTGAGCTGACTAACTCGTCTTTAATAAGAATACTGTGCAAAGTGGAATTATGTGCATTACTGATGACAAAGTTCTAAGATCGGGGTTTAGTTTTCGAGAAAACCGTGTCGCTGGATGTTATTTCTATTTAATATGATCAAAAAATAATCAGTAAAGAAAGGAGACCAAGATTCACTGCTATATCAGAATTCATTAGACTAAATCCACTGTACATAGACGGTCTTTAGGAGCAAATGCGCCACCAAATGATATACTGCTTGAGTTGCTGCAAGTAACTGTGGTTATCTTAATGTTACGTAGTCAGAATGTATACCAGTCAAACCTAATGACGTTCCACCAACTCTGATGCAGGTTGACCGATTAACTATCTGATTATATTGTATTCTTTTGTGGACTAGTTGAGTTCTTGTACTCTACTTATCATCACTTTCTGTCTACATGATGGAGACTTCGTGCTCATGACGACATCTGACTATTTAATATAGATCTACCTGATAAGCAGTATCTCATTTTCTCTTGGAATACTTACCCTGGAGTATAAAAACCCTATTCGCACAAGTGTTTGGAGATAAAACATAGATACGAATCTTTCCTTGATTTGGATTTCCACTCGGTTGATGCATATAAAGATACTGAAATAATAGGTTTATGGCTTGATTTGGTTTTGTAAGCTGACTGATTTCATTCCGTAGATCTTATTATTATTATGAAGCGATGGCTTCGTCGTCAGAGCGCTTGCACTTCAGTTCGGAGTCACAGGTTCGAATCTCGCCCTACCTACTTTGGTTTGGGCAACTAAGCAGCGATGATACCCTTCACTTTTAGCATAGCTTATACCCAGGTACCTAATGTATGAGGTAATTAACTTCTTTTAGATAGCATGACCTCCCATATCACGTAACGGTGAGGTGCTTATTTATTTAATTAGTGCTAAATCAGTCTATCCTGATGTTCGAAACATTCGCCAGTTAACCAACCACATCAGAGAACAGCGGAAAACACTACGATATATGCGCAATCGTTAGGTATATGTATATTGACGCCTTTGTCATATTTGTAATATATCAATGATACAGACATAGACTAATGTTTACTTTTCCGTTAAGTCACTAAACGTCCTCAGAAAGATTGATTTATCTAAACCTTAATAAAAAAGTTTGACTAGGTTGAAGAAGCCTATTAGACAATACCATCTCGTAAATACTGTGTATTACTTTAAATGTGTCATATATTCATCTGAGCCATAGTCAAGTAGAAAAGTTGGTTATCTACTTTAGGATCATCGAGTAGAACATAAAGTTAGAAGCAATACCTATGGAACCAGACTCAGAATTAAAAGGCGGTGTTATACAATCTGAGGTAGGTAGGCAGTAAGAGGTAGGCAGTAAGAATTTAAAGGAAGTGAATTAATGAAATTAATTTACCAAGTTTAGAGACTTTTTGCCGTTAATATGCGTTGCTTTCAATTTGTGTAAAATAATATCGTTCATATTTCCCAATCCTTTGACCGATAATGATAAAACATTTTGGCAGTCGAATATCGTGTTGGTTTAGCGTATGTGTAGCTCTTTAGCTTATAACCTTCAACTGGATGGAAGTACTTTCAGTATATCTAAATTCTTTACTGTTTTATGTTGATAGATTTTCCATGTCTTTATCAATGGAGGCACAAAGATGTGGAGTCACTACGAATGATGTAATATCAAGGATGCAATAGTATGATTATTATGCTGAGGTATACTTTGATGGCTTTTGTCGAATTTTTATATGTAAGTGGAATGCAGCGTCTACACTTCGCCTCAGCCCATAACGCGTTATCGTTTGAAGCAAAAGGTACTGGGTTTTAATCTAAGTGTGAACGTTAATACTCTGATCCAGGTCATCCATATGACTAGTCACAAATTGAGAGTAACACGTCCTAGCTTCCACCATTAACCACAATCCAAATTCAATGTCTTTACTATTTATGAATTAATAATAAACATTTTTAATGTTGTACGGATAAAAGTCTACATGTATTTAGCTGTTTTATTTAATCTTGTATCCTGAAAACTAACAAAAATGTACTCAGACCACCACATGTCTTGAAAGTAAAGTTCTAACAGCAAAATTCAAATCAGTGGTGAAATTTGTACTTCACTCACAGACTGTTGACATAGTAAGCGGCACTACTAGTGCATTTGGTGGCACGACAAGTAAAGGAGGCTAAAAGGAATGAAGCGGTTAGTCATTTATTTCACTAATTGAGAATAACTATGCGGAAAATACTATTCAAACCATTCCAATAAAAATGTCTCTGAGTATGGATCGCAATGCATCCTTATCTACTGGTCCACTGTATTAATTAACAAAACGTTATTATAAGAATTAACATATTACATGAGTCATATTTTCAAAACGTCGCTATTAATTTCAAATGATCTCTCGTTCAGTTGTAAATAGTTGGAAACTTATACATATTTAGTGTGTTTTGATTATAAACATCCATGCTGTTCAAATAATGAAGAATACTGGCACATTTTAAGATTTCTACTTCAATGTCTTTAAGAAGTATGCCAATACCTATGATATGTGCTTTGAACAATCCAAGTGCATAGTATTTTAACAAGATTGGCAAAACCCTGAACCTGAACTCACTCTGGGTAGTAAGCGGATAGAAGTAGTCGAGCAGTTCGTGTATCCGGTAGCTGCGTATATACTGGCGATGGTGTGAGTGATGAGATCAATTCACATACAGTGAAAGCCAGAGCGAGTTATGCCAATCTAGACCATCTTTGACGCCTTCGTGATGTTAGTCTGGCTGTAAACGGTCGGAGCTACAACGCGTCGGCGAGAGCAGTTCTGCCCTATATTTGTAAGACCTGGCCCCTCCCAGTTGATGATGTTAGACGACTCTTTGTGTTTGATCATCGTTGTCTCCGAAGGATTGCCGACATCCAGTGGCAACACCATATTGGTAATGCAGAGGTTCGGTGTCGTGTGTTTGAGTACAGAGACGATATTTCAAGTAGTGTCGCCATCTTGAAACACCGACTTTGGTGGCTCGGGCACGTCTTACGAATGTCGATGCTGGGACTGGTTGAAAAAAATGAGGTGGTCAGTGTATGACATGGTGTTGTGGTATGAATTAATGCTGCATAGGACTGGCATCTGTCGGTCCCTCGTGATTGCCTGGTTGGGGTCTCATAGATGGTGTAACACAGTAGCTAGATGTTATCAGATGTGGACCGGAATAGAAACCAGTGGCGATCCTTCTGTAACTTCCTTTTACTCTCTTTATAAAAGTGAACATAACTTCTTTGACTGAAATTATATTTTTTGGTTGCATTTCGCTTGGCCGAACTGCTTCTCCGATTATTATTATTATTAAACTGTCACATGCTAATTTCTTTTCGTTGTTGTTCTTTTTATTACACGTTCTTTACATTCTCTATCTCTTCACAACCTCATTTTCAATATATATATATAGTGTCCCCTTGTACCAATATTTATGTGTCTAAATATATAAGCAGATAATGGAGTCTATTGAATTTTCGTTAGATCTTAATCCTATGGAAGCCAACTCTAACAAAAGAGCAAATTACTTCATGGATGTAAACAAAACAATATCTCATTTATGGACCATCCTTATATTTAAGAGGATTGCTTAGACAGTTATTATTACGAACTATCCAACATAACGTTTTTTTGCTACTATGTATTCAGTATTCCGTCAGATTGAGAATCTCGCAGACGGCTGAACAAATTGCTATTCGAATTAAAAAGCCAGAGCTTTGCATTCAAAAGAAATATGTCCAACCGCTCCTTTTACCCTGGCCAACTTCGGGGCCAACTAGTTAATGATCAATTTTATAATATGGTGACGTAATTTGATTAATCTTCATTTTTATGTCTCAAACTTAGTATTATTATCTTTACCACTATTATTATTGTTATTATTATTATTATTACACTTGATAACGTTTTTGAGAAATTCATTCAGTATCCACTCCGATCTACTATATCAGGCCTAATTGATATTATCTTACGTATTACGTAATTTCTGATTTTTGTCCCATTGTTCTCCCTCTCTCACCCCATGTTGAGCATATTTATTCTGATCATTAATCTCACAATTCCATTTCACTTATTAACCGATTCATGTTAACATTTTATGATAGTCAGCTCCAATATTAACAATTTGATTTTATAAAACAATTATTGATTCACATATTACAATTTTAAATGATATACCCTGTCACATCTCAGCATGATAGAATTAGTATCTAGAAATTAAAACTGCACAAATTTGCAGCGTGCTTTTACTCTTAGATAATATTTTGTCTGCATAATTTCATAGGGTTGATGGAGGGAAGTGCACCGACTCATTTACAATAGAAAATCATATAAATCTGACTTTTTAAATATACGAAGATGAAATCTTTCATAGATCTTATTATTGAGGTGCGCTTTTTAAATCCTTAATACTCATGACATACACAAAATTTCCCATTATTAACTAAACTATTATTTCACGAAATTTATTATTTTTCTAGTATATATCATCGTATTCAAAATTCTATGATGATAATTTCAAAACTCAGTATACTTGGACTCCGGTGATCAGTGAGGAGTTGACATGTTCACAGAGCTAAATAAGAAATTTTAGACTGGTGAATGTCAAAAGACGAAACAACTGATCAGACAGATAAACATGTTTTGCAGATATCAAGCTAACATTTATGCACAAAACTTTTTAACCAAGATGAGGTAAACGTAGGTTGCTAGCGGCTGAACTTTGGTTATTATCCAACAGTGATATGCATCTTAAAAGAGCTGATATTCTATCAGATATTAAAACTGACTTAACTCTGTGGTACAATCAGAGGTGTTACCAATGCGTTACTTGAATGCCAACTAACTTGTTAAACTAGCATACTTCATTAATCGGTGACTGATTAGTAACAAATGTCATCTTGATAGAATTATATAAGCCCATTTTGAGATATTATATTGCTGAATTAAAAAGCAGGAATTAAACAATGTTTTTGAGATAACGTTAAAAGTAATTAGACTTGAATAAAGCCAAAACAGCAGTTGGGTGTATTTAAATTCGTAAAGGGAACCAATGGTATGAAGTAAACGAACTCCTAATAAGATTCAGCTTTGATTACCAATTAACGTAACAATGCAGTAAATAGTGCTGCAGACAAATATTTTGAACATTTTTTAGTTTTATGAAAAACATGAAAGTATGCAACCCGGAGAGTTTGAGTTTACTAATCAGATCACTGTTCATTGGACAAAAATATTCAGAAAAGATAAATGACATCGTAATTTTATCCATAACTTATTGCAACATCTTTAAAATACCACACTTTTAAACCTTAGTCAGCCTGATTGGCCTTTCCAACATTTTTTTAGAAACTTATAAGTAACTTTCTAGAATCTATATTGAACATTAATGTAGCCAATAAAGTTGTGATTCAAATTACGTACCTCTTTCAAATTTTCCGTAGATTTGCTTCCCTTCATTCGAATTAACCATTCTACAATTAGCATATTAATTATCGTGGTGGAATATTAGAGGCACGAAAGTTGGTCATTGGATGAAATATATGTCCTAACTGATTACTGCTGAATCACACTTTCAAACATCTTTTGACGCTACTAAATACTAAGCCAGCAGAAATTTTGCGGCATAACAGTGCATTTTGATGATTTCGAATTTCTTGTTATGGTTAGGTATTTCTTTTGAGTTGCGTTATCAGAACAAACTAATTCTATGACAAATGTTATCAAAATCTCTAACTGGACTTCATTGTCTAATCAAAACGAAACTAACATTGTTTCTATTTGTATCCTTACTTACTTACTTACTTACTTACTTACTTACTTACGCCTGTTACTTTTCGTGAAGGAGCATAGGCCGCTCACCAGCATCCTCCATTCAATCCTATCTTGGGCAGTCTTTTCCACCTCCTTCGAGTTGTCATTTATCCTTTTCATATGTGCTATTTCCCGACGTAATGTGTTCTTTGGCCTTCCTCTTTTCTGCTTCCCTTCAGGATCCCAAGTTAGAGCTAGCCTCGTGATGCAGTTTGATGATTTGCGTAATGCATTTCCTGTCCATTTCCATCGTCTTTTCCTAATTTTCTCTTGAGATAGAAGCTGGTTTGTCCTCTCCCATAGTAGATTGTTGCTGATGGTATCCGGCTAGTGGATGTTGAGTATCTTACGTAGACAGCTATTTATAAATACTTGTGCCTTCTTGATGGTGGTTGTTGTAGTTCTCCACATTTCAGCTCCTTACAGTAGAACTGTCTTGACATCCGCATTGAAGATTCTGACTTGAATGTTGGTTGAAAGTTGTTTTGAATTCCATATGTTCTTCAACTGTAGGAATGCTATCTTTGCTTTCCCAACCATCGCCTTTACATCTACATCTGATCCTCCTTGTTCATCGATGATGGTTCCCAGGTACGTGGATGTTTTCATCTTTTCCAAAATTTCCCCGTCAAGTGTGATTGGGTTGGTGTTCTTAATGTTGTATTTGAGGACCTTGGTTTTCCTTCTGCGTATGTTGAAACCTACTGATGCAGAGACTGGTGCTACACTAGCTGTCTTTATCTGCATTTGTTCGTGTGTATGCGATAGGAGGGCTAGGTCATCTGCGAAGTCCAAATCGTCTAATTTGTTCTGAGCTGTCCATTGTATGCCGTGTTTTCCCTCAGATGTGTTAGCGGAACATAGACTGGATTAAGGCAAGCTCAATGCACGATTGCTTTGGTGTGCGCTGATTGGCTAATACTTATCCAATCAGCACTAGTCGATAGTTGGAGAATACTCGGGGATCTTCTCATGTGAAAACTATAAATATACTGACGTTTTCCCTATTGTGCTTCTTACTTCCATCTAACCTTGTTATTTGGAATATAATCTCTTTCCTGTTCAACCGTGTTCTGATTTGGGTACTTGTCGAGTGATAAGGTGTACAAGAATACTAAGCAATAAAAATAGATGGGTCATACCGTAAGAAAAGAGATTGTAACAGATGTCGAGGTCTTCATAATCCAGTCAACCACCAGAGGAAAGAGGAAGAGGGGGAGTAGACAATCTTGTCTGACTCCAATCCTTACACGAAATGCATCTGTCAGCTGTCCTCCATGCACGACCTAGCACTGTAGTCCATCGTATGAGTTCTGTATAATGTTGACAATCTTCTCAGGAACTCCATAGTGTCGAAGAAGTTTCCATAATGTTCTCCTATCTACACTGTCAAATGCCTTTTCATAATCAATGAATTTGATGTATAGTGACGAGTTTCATTCAACTGATTGTTCGACGATGATCCGTAGTGTCTTAATTTTGTCTGTGCACGACCGATCCTCAAATTAATTTAATCTCTTTCTCTTCTGAATCGAATTTCTCACGAGGGCGGTAGTATAACTATGAAGAAATGTTTAAAATTTTGTACACACAAAAGTGTAATAAATATTCTAATAATTTACTTATCTGTTACCTATGTACCTAATTAGAATCACGTGTAAAGTAACATGAAACACCAATGTGATATTTTAAACATTTTCTAATGTAATTGATTTTTTAGGGTTCCGTTACTTTCCGTCCACATATCACAACCGACAGACATTCTTTGTTAGGTGTTTTATATATTATATGGAAACAATCGTATGAACACTACTAAACATATATATATATATATATATATATATATATATATATATATACGACTGGATATAATTGTTGGTTTGCTGTAGGTTTGCTCTTTTGTTAAACTAAGGGTTGAAGTACA